AAATAGAACAGCCTCGATCTTCTCAATATTTAGCTGGAAGGGGTTTCTACTCATTCAGTGCGAGGTAACTGATAAGCAGTATGACAAATCGAAGATATCAGAGGACAGATATATTTGTCCACATTTAAAACTACAAGTCAATACCACCATTTACTGTCAGTGTAATCATCTATTGGTTAGTACCCTCTGGGTTATTGCCTTCTGTCTCACTGACAGTCATTGACCAATTGTTAAATAGTCTGTGAATCAGTGAGGATCTGAAACTGATGATAACCCCATTCCTTGCTATTCTGCTCTTCCTTGGACTAATTTATAAATTTCATCACTCCAAGTGCTTGCCATTTCCTGACATGAAGGCATCAACTTGACATCCATGCAACAGTTAAAAAGCAAAAGGAAATCCCCAAATTTAAACAAGAACAGTTGTCTCAAAGCAGTCCAGATGACAGAAGTGCTGCATTCCAGTCTCTCGTGCCTGACCCTGACTTTGTTATCAAACCTGCCGATAAAGGTGACCTCGACCTAGCAGAGGCTGATCACCAACTCTCAGAAACTTCCTCATATCTCCCTCTGGAACGTAATCCCCAAAACTGAATATCACAATGTTGCTTCCAGAACTGTCACTGGCCTCATCTTCTCTGGAGGTCTCCCCTCCCCACAGCTTCCCACCTCATAGACTCCTAACCCCACACAGCCCACTTCTACCTTCTTCACAGACGGGACTGCCCTGGCAGGCTCATCATTCCAATCTTTTGCTACCCTCATCCAGTATCTTCCCATTTTCATTTCAATTTATTAAGTGAAAAAATTTAATATCAAGGCATTGCCAGGCCAGGATTGAGCACCTGGAGATTTTTCTGACACTTAATGTTGATTCCACAAGTTCCAGTTTCTTAGCCCCAGCAATGGATATGTAATCCCTCTACACAGTCTGATGACTCCTCACCTCTTCTTTGAAAAGGGACCTGACCAGTCCCCATCCACCTCCATCCTCATTTGCCTGGCAGAGCGCATTCTCACCTTGAACAACTTCTCCTTTAACTTGACTCACTTTCTTCAAGTCAAAGGTGTGGCTATAGGTACCTTCCAATTATAAAAGCAAAATAGTGAAATATAAAAAAAGAAGTGACGAAGAAACTCAGTAGGTCTTGCAACATCTGTGGAGATAGAGACAGAGTTAACCTTTTGAGGCCAGTATGACTCTTTTTTGGAACTCCCTTTTGGAACTCCTTTCCCAAAAAAAGACAATACAGTTCCCCTAGTCCTCACTTCTAGCTGCCAGCTACTGCATTCAAATGGCATTCTCTGCCATCTGCAGCACTAAACACATCTTCCCCTCCCCTCTGCAGTCAGCATTCCACAGAAATGGTTCCTCCACCTTACCCAGGTCCACTCCTCCATCACTCCTAACAGTTCCTCACCCCTCCACCTCATTCTTTGGAGCCTTCCCATGTAATGTCAGGTGGTATAACACTTTACAGTCATAGAGTCATGGTGCTGTACAGCATGGAAACAGACCCTTCAGTCCAACACATCCATGCCGACCAGATATCCTAAATTAATCCAGTCCCATTTGCCAGTGTCTGGCCCGTATCCCTCTAAACCATTCCTTTTCATACACCCATCCAGACGCCTTTTAAATGTTATAATTGTACCAGCCTCCACCACTTCCTCTGGTAGCTCATTACACACATACAACACCCTCTACATGAAAACATTGCCCCTTAAGGCCCTTTTAAATCTTTCCCCTCTCACCTTAAACCCATGCCCTCTAGTTTTGGACTCCCCCACCCTGGGGAAAAGAACTTGTCTATTTACGTTATCCATGCCCCTCATGATTTTATAAACTTCTATAAGGTCACCCCTCAGCCTCCAATGCTCCAGGGAAAACAGCCCCAGCCTATTCAGCCTCTCCCTATAGCTCAAACCCTCCAACCCTGGCAAAATCTTGCTGTTTTCCCTGATCTTCCTTATTGTTTTTCAGTACTGAATGCATGGTAGCACTTTTCCAAATGGATAAAGTGCTGCATCTCACCATTTACACTAAGCTGATGAGATTGATTTTATTCTCCACTTAGTAGGGCACACGGCCCAACATTCATGACGTGCCACAAACCACATATAACAATAGAAGGGCCTTGACCCCTAACAATTGTAGTAAAGGGGCTAGTCAAACAGCCTACCCCTGCAATGAAGCTGATATCTGTGGGAGTGCTGCATGTCAGCAGGCTGGCCAAACCCTACCCCACATCAGCAGCAATTGCTGCAATCAAAAATGGGTGTAGTAATCATAAAATCAGGCCACACAGACCAGTTTTAAAAGGGCACCTAAGTCAGCTCAGTGGAAACAAATTGTTCATAGCACATTACCTTTTCCAAGGTAAAATACTATTAGTATGGAAGATTATTTTCCTCCAAACAAAGAGCTAACTATAGTGCACTGCTTAGAAAGTGATGTAGATTTTATAAAAGACCTCAGTCAATCTTCACCATACACACAGGGTAAACATTCAGCTGCCAACTCCATATCCTGTCTATCCTCTCCGAAACCTTCAGGAATTCTCCTTCACTGTATCTCTGAAATCCCTGAAGAGACATTAATTACTCAAAATATTCCTTCTCATTCATTTCACTGTCCTACAATTCTGCTCCATCATTCCAACTTATTGACCTCTGAAGTCAGCATTTTTACTGCACACATTATTGAATATAATAAAAATTCATTTTTCCAGTCTTGCAAACTGATATATAGATTAAAGAATATGTAAGATCAAAAAACTCAAAAATTCAGCCAAATACCTGTGGATGAAATGTGCTTTTTTCAAGAAGTATTCTTTCACAGAATGCAGGCTTTGCTAACTAGGCCAACATTTATTGCTGATTCTTAACTGCCCACGAGAAGGTGTTGATGAGCTGCCTTACAGTCACAGAGTCTTACAGCATAAAACAGACCCTTTGGTCCAACCAGTCCATGCTGAACATAACCCCAAACTAAACTAGTCCTACCTGCCTGCCCCTGGTCTACATCCCTCCAAACCTTTCCTACTCAGAGATCCATCCAAATGTCTTTTAAACATTGTAATTTTACCCACATCCACCACTTCATCAGGAAGTTCATTCCACACACGAGCCGCCCTCTGTGTAAAAAATTTGCCTCATGTCTTTTTAAAATTGCTCTTCTCTCACCTTAAAAATGTGCCCTTTAGTCTTGAAATCCCCCATCTTAGGGAAAAGACAACTACCATCAACTCTATCTACACCTCTCATTATTTTATAAACTTCTATCAAGTCACCTCTCAACCTCCCACGCTCCAGTGGAAAAAGTCCCAGCCTTTCCTTGTAACTCAAACCTTCCATACCCAGCAGCATCCTGGTAAATCTCTTCTGAACCCTCTCCAGCTTAATAATATCCTTCCTATAACAGGGTAACTTCCTCAATAAACTCAATCAAGTTTGTGTGACATGATTTTCCTCGCAGAAAACCATGCTGACTATTGCTAAATCAATTTTCGCCTAAGTATCCATAAATCCTATCTTTTATAAACAACTTCTCGAAATATTTGAATCTAAGTGTTTCAGACACACACACACACACACACACACACATGCACGCACGCACAGAAGGAGTTGTATCCAGAACCATTGAAGGAATGGTGATAATATTTCTAAGTCACGATGATGTGTGGCTTGGAGAGGAACTTGCAGCAATCATTTTCCCATGAATCTGCTTCCTTTGTTTCTCTAGGTGGTAGATGTGGTAGGTTTGGAAGGTGTAATTAAATGAGCCTTGGAAGAGTTATTGAAGTATATCTTACAGATGGAACACAGTGCTGTGTTGGCGATGAAGGGAGGGAATGTTAAGATGGTGGATGTGGTGCCAATTAGACAGCCTGCCACACTATCAAGTGTGCTTCCCCCCAATAGAGATGCTGCACCAGATATGTCATGGAGGATTTCATCCTATGTAGAAGCAGGTGGCAGGGGAATCCTGACTGTGGATAGATGGGATGGATTTGACAATCCAAGTTAAATAATTGAGTTTAACAGTTGGCCACATTGAGTATACAAAAAAAGTAATTATGCCATCAATGCCTAAATCTTAATTCTCTAATTACCCTGCAGTTGCCAGTGGGAAATAATGAATCCTACCTGTGCTGTAAGCTTTCCTAAAAGATTTGGGTCAAGATCTCAGAATTCCCTGCTATTGTGGGAGTAGCACTACCACAAGGATCTGAGACCCATCAACTTCACCTCACAATAAATCAAGCCTCTACATATTTAATGTAGAAGATAATCCTCATAGTGTGTTAGTATTAATCTGATTCTTCCAGATCCTCAAAGACCTTTCCCACTGTAGTGGATCAACTATAACCACTGACAGACAACGCTCTAATGGGTGCCACAATGTCACAGGGCACATGCATCATCTGCAATGCCCGAGCATTTACAGTTTAGCCAAAATAGCTAAAGCAGACTGTTAAACACCAACTGTCACTAATGGAATAACCAAGGGAAACTCAATCACACTTTGACAGCACAAACAACACAGTTTACAACAAACTGAGAGACAGGTGAACAGGAGGGTTGCACCCGCTCACCAGTTTAAAATGTTCTGTTGCTACTGACGTCCTCCACACCAAAAATACTTTATTGATAAGGGTTTGTAAGCCTCATCTGTTTACAGAGCAGAGCAAATTCATCAGCAGTAAGCTCCCTGGAAAAACTCTGTAACACAATGCTAAGATAGAAAAATTCAAACAATATTTGTTTTGTGGACCCAATGCTAAAATGCCATCTTTTACTAAAGCAGACAAGGTTAGACTGAGTAACCCTGTTAAATGTACAAAATGACTAATATGGCAAGATTTTTCATACTTGGAACAAAGTTATAATTGGCACAAGAATATATTTCCTTCAACTGGACAAGTAATTAGAAACAGATCATTCCACCACCACCTCCCACCATTTTCATTTTCACTTACACAGTCCTCATCACTTACTTCCGAAGGACAGCAATCTCATTCTCAATGCTGTTCTCCTTTCCCTCCAGAGCTTTCTTGGGAATACACTTAATAGCGACCAGTTTCTGAGTCTGCTTTTCCTCAGCGAGGACCACTTCAGAGAACGCACCCCTAGAAACCAAAAGGCAGACATATTATCATTTTAAACCTTTACGGCACTGGTCATTCATTCCTTGACAGTTTGTGGAGAAAATGAAGAGACGAATCTCTAACTAAACCCCAGTTAACCACAAGAAAACTCACCTAATCGTGAGGCAGGAAGGAGTGTTACATTCAAGCAGGGGTGTGAAGACAGCATTCTCAAGCATTTGACTTACGCAGGGTACTTGCTACTCTGTTGCGAGAAGTGTCAGGCACTGCAGAGTACATGGTTAACCAGAGGGAAATCTCCTGTTAAAAGCCTTAAAGTCAGACAAGAAGCTGTTTCCACTGGCAACAGGTTCAGTGGTCAGAGGAGATTTTAAGACATAAACACAGTGAGTCACCATGATCTGGAATACACTGCTTGAAAGATAATGGAAGGAGATGCAACAATTTGTCAAAAGGGCTTGGATAAACACTTGGAAAAGATTCATTTGCAAAGCTACAGGAAAAGAGTGGAGTGGAGGGGTGAGATTAATTTGATATTTCTTTTTCAAAGAGTCAACACAGGTACAATGGGCGAAAGCAGCCTCTTTCTGTGCAGTAGGAGTCTGTTGAAACATCCTAGCAGCCATCAGGCTAAGTGAATGGGGGAAGCCACTGCACATGGCAGTGTATCCATTTACAGGGCTTCACTCCATTAGCAGATTTCAATGGAACGAGAATGAAAAATATACTGGTAGGAATGCTGGGTGGATTGTGTCATTCCATGGCTGAACAGACCAAAGTTATGAACTGTCCAATCGCACATTACAAAACGGTATCTCGGGTGAAGCAGCAAAGCTGCTGGAAAGCAATAGGAGACACCACCTTCCTGAGACATTTAATGTCCAAAATAATGTTTACTTTTGCATGTTCATATATCACAAATGTAATAGGAAGAGGAATTGTCCAACTTCCTGCAGTCATGTAAACAGGAGATAGCTGCCTGTTCATCACTACGGATCAGATACGTGGTTATGGCACGGAAATTACTGTTGAGTGATTTTCACCAGATAAACAATCAAAATATTGTAAAAGGACACTTGCTTTTCCCTTGCTAACATTGGCAAACTGTAAATTTTATACTGTGCGTCTAATATTCAGGTACAGTAAACAATTAGGAAAGTAAACGGTATGTTAGCTTTTTTTCTCAACAGGACTGCCATATCAGAGTAAAGCAGGCTTACAAGGATTTGTGTGGGACCTTGGCCAGACCAGGAACCAGGACAGAAATCTCAAGCCCTGATACCCAGCAACACCACCCTTCACGCCCTCAAAATCTAAGTGCAGTAGACCTCCTACAGCCAGAAGATCAGGGGTCAGGCCCCGATGTATTCCCCTGTTTCGAACTCTGGGTGAGACCACATGTGTGACACTGTGAATAGTTCCGGTTGTTTTGCCCCGAGAAAGATTTATTTGCCTCAGTGGACTGTAAAGGTTCACTAGACTGGCACTGGGAATGAGAGAATTGTCCTATGAGGAGCACATGAATAGATGAAACCTCTGCTGTCCAGAGTTTAGAAAAATGAGGGATGATCTCATTGAAATATATAAAATTCTGAAGGGCATGACAGGGTAAATGCTGGGAGAATGTTTCTCCCGGTTGGTGAATCTAGAACCACATGATCACAAGGACAGGGAAAGAGGTAGACCATTTAGAACCAAAAAGGAGGTGGAAGTTATTCACTCAATTGTTATTCGATGCAATTCTCTACTGCAGTGTGCTGTGTTGCCAAGTACATTCAAGTCAGAGATCAGTAGACTTTTAAAGGAGTCAAGGGATATGGGGATGGCGTGGCAAAGTGTAGCTGATGTAGAAAAACAGCCATGATCTTGCTGAAGGGCAGAGCAGACTCAAAGGGCTTATTCTTACTCCCGCATTTTTGATGTCATAACCAGGCAAAGTGATTAATGTAACTCTGCTGTATCAGCATGGTCCAACTTCTATTAGCAGAGAAATGACTACCAAGGAGCCATCACAGTGAGTGAAAAATATGGACGCTGTCACAGAGCTGAAGAACAGGTTTAGAAGTAGCACGAGCATTGTATGAATTTTCACACGCCATGCTTGCTCCTGTTAGAGTTCGTTCCATCTAATGAGAGTTACAAATATTTGGCCTTTACGTTTCATGTTGAAGTGCATTACAATTTGCTTTGCTGCCACTGTTGCAGCTTAAACACTTTGGATTCTTCATTATAAACCAACAAGCGTTTCTTACAGTGGTATCTATAATCTACATCACTCATTGAAAAGCACCTCGCAGCCCTTTGCAACAGACTGGTATTAAAAGTAGGTGATCAATGATGCTGTCATTGCCATGAAGGATGAAATTGACATCTCATACAGCGAAAAGGGCGATGGACTTCCTAATTTTCAGAAAACTCTTGGATCTCACGTTTATTCCACGCCATTGCCAGAGTATTCCTCTCTACAAGAATGACAGTGCCTGAGGGTTAAGTACTTGACTCTTTCTCTAAATGGACATTCCTGGTACAAGAACCTGAGGTTTTCAGAGATGCATGGAGGAGCCATCTCCAATTTGGTATAATGAAAAGCCACCTATAACAAACTGCTCTCAATACAATGCATTTAAAGAACAGGGATGCAGGTAAAGGATGGTCTAGTTTTGGTTTAACCCTCCTTCTGATTTGGAAAGCACCTGGACAATTTTGTTTCATTTCTGTCTGACTTTAAGCGGATCAACTTTCCACTTAAACCAGGGACTGGCCGAGAGCAAATCGCCAAACTTTCTAACAGTGCTGCTGATACCAGGGAAAACTATTGGGTTAATATTTCCAAATAGAAAATATAATTGATTCAATAAAAGGTGAACTTACTTCAGAATGACAATACCACCCCTTTATTTTGAGACTGTTCCTTATTTTCAAAGATTATGGCAGATGATTACTCCTTGAAAGATGAGCTCTGAGGGCTAAGCCCAGTAAGATCTGACCAACTGCAGTTCAAATACAACAACTGTAGCTGTTTTGTAAATTCGACTTAAGGAGCAGTAATCTCATCTTTAATGCAGCAGCATCACATCATACATCTTCAGTTAAAATGATCTTACCTTTGCTTTATTGTCCATGTGAATGGGTACAGATCATTGTAGTCTCTAAAAACTGTCCAAAAGCACACACTTACTTAATGCATTCAATTTGTACTAAATAAGATGATTTTTGACGACTAAACTCCAAAATCGTTTGATTACAAATATTGTCTTTCAATCTGAACTTAAAGAGAGATGCAGCAGGGGGTGTAAGATGGAAGAGATGGGACAGAGTCAAGCATTTAAATTTCCCCAAAATTCTTAAGGTATAATCTTGACATCTGCCATTGCTTGGCCTCGCACATCTGCTGATGTTAAAACACCAATTTGGTTATCTGACCCACAGCAAGTTTCACATTTCCAGCGACATATTGGAGAACATAAATATTTCAAGCACATAAACCCTCATGATAAACCTAGTAAACTGATTGAACAAGAGCAAGTCAAAGGTGGATAAAAGTTTTATTTAAGACAAAGGTGGATCTGCTTATGGAGTCTGAAACATGCACACAGCCCAGATTAAGAATTGATAGTTGCTTTGTTAGGTAAGGGAACTGAGGGTTACAGCATCAAGGCAGGAAGACAGAATTAAGACACACATCAGTAAAGATCTCCTCAAAGATAATTAGGCCTGAGAGACTGAATGCCCTGGTCCTCTTCTTAAATTCCATCTTTTTATGCTTTCATGTAATGTGGTGGTTGCTAGAAAAACCAACATTTGTTGTCCATCCCTAATTACCCTGGAACTAAAGGGCTTACTTGGTCATTTCAAAGGACAGTTAACTACATACAGTGGATCTGGAGTTATATATAAACAGGAGCAGGCTAGGATAGCAGATTTCCTTTTCTAAAAGACATTAGGAAACCACACGACTTTTTACAACAATTGATAATAGTTGCATGGTCACTATTACTGGAACTGGCTTTCATTTCCAGATTTTGTTAACTAAATTTAAACTCCACCATTTGTCTTAATAGAATTTGTACTCATGCTCCCAGAACACTAGCTTGCAGGCTCATGGATTACTACCTACGCAACATACCTCCAGGCACTGTCTCCCTACCTCTGTAGGATGCCTCGGGTTTCTCAGTTTAAGATCATGAATATTTCTATTCATTTGCTGAGAAATCCTCAATTTTTAATAGACTTTTGGAGTCCAAGGCCATCCAAGTATATGGGGTTATTGCAGGAATTTGAGGTTGAGGTAGAAGATCAGGTTCAAATGGCCTACTGCTACATTTTAAATGAAGGGTGACAGCGAGGTCTCCATGACATCTCCACCTTGCACCTCTCCAGAAAGTGTCAAATGCAAACCAGTGAAACATTAACGCATTGCTCACCCACAATGCAAAGAAATTGTATCCCATGGCAAGGAACTGAACTGTTATCTCAGGGTGACAATTCAAAATAAGCAACGAAGGGAGCTGCTTGACAAGAGTTTGGCACCAAACCAATTTGATAATGTTCTAACCATCTTTGTAGGAGTGAGGAATGAAAGCCGGTGAAATCCATTGTTAGCATTCTGATCAATATATCCACCGGTCTCACATTTCACACAGCGGACTATGGAGATATCCACTATGTCTATAGTGAACTCAAGTCACCACTACACATTTAAGTTCATTAGTAGGAGCATCCTTTAACCACAAATGCTAACAAATAAAGTGCTACATTGTGTATCTTTTTTCCCCAATTACCTAAGTATTTTGGTTCTGAAAGTGAAACTTGTTATAGCCAAACATCATTTGTATTAGTAGGCACTTTTGGCTGCAACAAGCTAAAGAAGTATAGATGCCAAACAGATTACAGCAGCATTCATTCCCTAACAAGGCTGTGTGGAAGGAATGCACATTTTTTGCTCTTTTATATGGTTTCTCTTTGTAAAAAAAAATGCCAGCCTCAGAAATGTCATCGAACCGGAGCAACCTTAATAACTA